TTTCAGTGGGAAGGAGCTCTGGGTGACAGCCTTGATACACATTCCAGGCAATGCCAGTTTTCAACTATTCATCAGCTTGGAAGTGAGGTATGCTCCAAAAGTGGATGTTAAACCTGGGTGTCCGAGTCTTGCAAAAAGGCTGGTGAAGTCCTCGGCATAGTTATCTATGTCACCAGCCAGGCGGTCCCTAACTTATAGATAACTCTGCTCTGTGAGCAGCACCCTGGCTGGGAGATCCTCTTGGGTCACTCTGCTATTGACTCCTTCAGCCCAGGTGGCAGAGCCATCCCCAGACATTGACTCATCAGTTCCCCTTGCCCAGTATTGCTACATCTCCTGTGCTTAGAAAGGCAGGAAACTGAGCTCTGGTATTTTAGAAAGTCTCTCAACAATAACCTTAATTAAAAGGGGATTTTCCAGTTAACCCTGGAGAATTTCAGTTAACCAAAGACTTATTGTATTCTTGTTCTCTGAAATGTAGTAATCCACATACAGTATGTATTTATGGTAATTCTCATTCACAAGACAATTCAATTAAAGAGGATTTCCCCACTATGTAGAATAAGCCACAGAACCACAGAATTACCAAGTTAAAAAAGAAAAAAAAAGGGCCTTGGGGATCATTTAGTGGGATCCTTAATTGTACAGATGAGGACACTGAGGCTCCAGAGAAGGGATATAACTTATTGAAGATGATTTAGTTCACTAGTGGCATAACCATAACTAGAAACTCCCAATTCAAAGTGCTTTCTGCCACCTAAGAATTATTACAAAGCAGGGAATCTTTATGTCCAGGGTTACCTGCAGGCTGAACTTAGCCTGCAGCAATATTTTGTTTGGTTTGCACAGTATTTTAGAAGTAGAGAAATTTAAAATCCAAATTTGGTATTTCTTTGAAAAAAAATGGGACACTCTGGACACACTGGGCCTGATATCTATAAAGGGTGCCTAAGTAGTAACAACTCCTATAGGCTGGGGGCTGGGATCTAGACGCCACGTCTGGCCACTCCCTATCACTGCGAACCTGCTCTGCCTCACTCATTTTATGACCTACCTGGCCCCTGCAGGCATTGGAATTTGGCTCTCTGCTTCCAGGTGAAGGGCGCTCCTTGGTTAATTTTAAAAAGAGCGCTAAAGTAGCCAGATTGAAAAATAGTGGAGACCATGAGGAATCAGAAGCACTTGTGTTAAGTGCCAGGTTGTAGCACCAGGGGTCCTAGCTGGCCCTGAGCAAGCTCAGATTAGGGACTGGGAAAGACCTCTAGGAGCTTCTCATTTGGGTAAAAAATGTGAAAAGCTGGCCAGGCAAGGTAGCTCACGCCTGTTATCTCAGCGCTTTGGGAGGATGAAGCGGGTGGATCACCAAGTCAGGAGTTCGAGACCAGCCTGACCAACATGGTGAAACCCGTCTCTACTAAAAATACAAAAATTAGCTGGGCATGGTGGCACGTGCCTGTAATCCCAGCTACTCAGGAAGCTGAGGCAGGAGAATTGCTTGAACCCAGGAAGCCGAAGTTGCAGTGAGCTGAGGCCACTGCACTTCAGCCTGGAGGACAGAGCAAGACTCCATCTTAAAAAAAAAAAAAAAAATGTGAAAAGCTAAATAACAACAGGAGGGATGTCTCTTGGCAAGATTGGAGGAACCAGCAGAGTGAATGGAATAGGCAAGATGTGCTAACGCTGCTCAAAAGGTCTATGTTCAAAGGAGGTCTCTGATGGAGGTGGGTCTTGGTTCAGATGTCACCCCATTTTAGAGGATGGAGACACTATGGGCAGAGAAAACAGCCATGGAGCTACTGCGACCGTCAGAGCTGAGGGCTAGGAATAGGTGGATAGAGACAGGAAAAGGAAGGAGGAGTTGGATACCAGAACAAGTTCCCAAGGGAGGCATGGACAGGGTTTGGTGCCTACATGGAGGTGGGAGAAGAGGAGAGGAGAGAGTTAAAGTTGATTGAAGCTTTGTGCCTGGGTGAGAATGGTCATGTACCAAACAGAAAAGGGAAACCAGCTGGGACAGCTGCTTTGGGGGAAGATGAGGAACTCATTTTTGGATATGTTGAGTTTGAGATAACAACAGGGCTTATGTTTAGAGTTGTCCAATGGGCAGCTGAAATTGGGACTGGGAGTCAAGAGGTCAGAGCTGGTAACCTAGAGGAGATAACTGGAACCACTAAAAGCAATGAGGTCCTTCTCCCAGAGACAGGAGGCTGAGGACAGGGAGCTGAGGGCAGCATGGTAAACACTGGGTAATAGGCACCCTTAAAAAAAAGAAAAAAGAAAAAAAAAAATCTCAGGGTTGGGGACAATGGCTCACACCTGTAATCCTGGCACTTTGGGAGGCCGAGGCGGGCAGATCACTTGAAGTGAGGAGTTCGAGACCAGCCTGGCTAACATGGCAAAATCCCATCTCTATTAAAAATACAAAAATTAGCTGGGCATGGTGGCGCACGCTTATAATCCCAGCTACTCCAGCTACTCAGGAGGCTGAGGGCGGGTGAATCATTTGAACCCGGGAGGTGGAGGCTGCAGTGAGCTGTGCCACTGCACTGCAGCCTGGGAGACAGAGCGAGACTCCATCTTATTAAAAAAAAAAAAAAAAAAGGTTCAGGAAAGGAAGAGGAGCTAACACTAGAGAAGGAGCAATGAGAGGGGCAGGAAGGGAACCAAGCTGGAGTAAAACTGCAGACATCTCCCAAGGCAGGGAGAAGGCGTTAGGACAGTAACCAGAGGGCGTGCCAGAGAAAATGGAAGCTCTAATAAAGACGGAGGAAGGAGAGTTTGCAGATGGTAGGGACGGAGTACATGGGGTGGATGAGACTGAGGAGCCCCTTTCAACACCTGTGGGAAAAGGGACTGTGGACTGACAAGCAGGCCGGCAAGCAGGCCGGCTTCCAAGGCTGACTCCCAAGGCTCTGCATTTGCCAGAGGATGGCTCTTGACTGCTCACTCATTATTCTGCAGATAGGATGGCTCATCTCACATCACTTCCTTATTTTGGACTCAGTTTACCCATCTTTATTTTTTATTTGTTTTTTTTTTTGAGATAAGTCTTGCTGTGACACCCAGGCTGGAGGGCAGTGGTGCCATCTTGGCTCACTGAAACCTCCACCTCCTGGCTTCAAGTGATTCTCCTGTCTCAGCCTCCTGAGTAGTTGGTATTACAGGCATGTGCCACTATGCCTGGCTAATTTTTGTATTTTTAGTAGAGATGGGGTTTCACCATGTTGGCCAGGCTGTTCCCGATCTCCTGACCTCAAGTGTCCGTTTGCCTCAGCCTCCCAAAGTGCTGGGATTACAGGTGTTAGCCACTGTGCTGGGCTGCAGTTCACCCATGTTTAGTTTAAAAAATGACCACACGGCCAGGCGCGGTGGTTCATGCCTATAATCCCAGCACTTTGGGAGTCTGAGGCAGGCAGATCAAGAGGTCAGGAGTTCGACACCAGCCTGGCCAATATAGTGAAACGTCATCTCTACTAAAAAATAGAAAAAAGGCCGGGCATGGTGGCTCACGCCTGTAATCCAAGCACTTTGGAGGTCAAGGTGGGCGGATCACCTGAGGTCGGGAGTTCAAGACCAGCTGACCAACGTGGTGAAACACCGTCTTAAAAAAAAAAAAAAAAATAGAAAAAATTAGTCGGGTGTGGTGGCACGCACCTGTAGTCCCAGCTACTCAGGAGGCTAAGGCAGGAGAATTGCTTGAACCTGGGAGGCAGAGGTTGCAGTGAGCTGAGATCACGCCACTGCACTCCAGCCTGGGTGATAGAGTGAGACTCTGTCTCAAAAAAAAAAAAAAATGACCACAAAATTTACTGGATGCTGCCCACCCTGAGGGGCAATAGGCAAGTGTGAGTTACTCAAAAGAAGTAAACTAGGCCTTCTCCTTTGTGCACTGACTCCCTTAGTCTGGTGAGGGAAGCTTTATTACAGTTCCCATTGCACAGATGAAGTGGGGGCTCAGGGAGGCCAAGGGAACGCAACTACTAACTATAGAACTGGAACCCAAGTCTCCTGGAATCCAACTGCAGTGCCTTTTCCACTACCAGATGCTGGCAGGACCCAGGTAATGAACTAGGCCAGGCACCTGAAGAGCAGGCCGGCGAACTCCCTTAGCGGTTTGCAATGTGGCCTCCATCTGCCCACTGTGGGGTAAGAGCCTCACCCATACAAAGCAGTTTTAAAAACGTTTATTAAATGTTATAAGGCTGAAGCTGGGGCACGCTGGCTCACGCCTGTAATCCCAGCACTTTGGAAGGCCAAGGAGGGTGGATTGCTTGACGTTGGAGTTCGAGACCAGCCTGACCAACATGGTGAAACCTGGTCTCTACTAAAAATGTAAAAATTAGCTGGGTGTGGTGGTGTGTGCCTGTAGTCCCAGCTACTCAGGAGGCTGAGACAGGAAAATCCCTTGAAGCCAGGAGACGCAGGTTGCAGTGAGCGGAGATGGCGACACTGCACTCCAGCCTGGGAGACAAAGTGAGACTCTGTCTCAAAAAAAAAAAAAAAAAAAAAAAGTAATGAGGCCAATAGAGGGAGAGGGTAGAAGTAGGCGTCAGTGAGTCGACGTCCGAGCTGGGCTTTTATTTAGCCTGGGGTCCTGTTGCCCCTAGGGTGTCAGGAGGTGACGTGCCTGAAGCCACAGGCAGAATCGCAGTGTCTGTGTGGGCTGTCGGCTTGCTCTGGACACTTTCTGGGGACAGGGTGAAAGGCCGTCATCACATCCTCAAAGGGACCCGTGTCCAGAAAAAAACCATGTTAAACCTCATGGAAACATCTGCAGTCCCCTGCCCGGATCGGGACACCATGGCGCAATGTGTCCCTCCCTGTCACTTTATCCAAATCCTTGCCTAGCAATCCCTCGTGGCTGGACTCTTTCACCCAGCGCAGGGGAGAAGCCCTCCTCCCGGGAGCCCGTTTTGGGGCGGGCCTGGCTCAGTGGCTCCGCGAAGACGCAGGCGCGGCCGGAGGTCGCCGGGCTCGGGCGGGATCGCGCCGCCGCCGGGGAGGGGGCTGCGGGCGCGCGGCGGATGTCACGGCTTACCTCAGAGCCCGAATTAGAAGGCTGAAAAAATCACAGCAGGAAATAATGTGCTGCCTAAAATAGAAGCATCAACTGGGAGAGCGGCCGGGAGTAGGTGGCATCTGAGGCTCCCGCCGCGTCCTCCCCAGCGGCTGCTTGACGCGGCGTCGAAGGCGTGTGGGTGGCGCCCGGCCTGAGGGGCCGAGAGGCGGGGGCGGCGCGGGGCGGGAGGAGGCAGCAGGCAGGGCAACGCCCCTCCGCCCCCACCCCCGCTCCCCCATTCCTCTTTTCTCCCCCTCCCCGACACCCCCTACCTTCCTCTCCCCCTACCCGCTCCCCCCACAACTGGGCTGGTCCTCCATCCATTCCTCCCCCCACGCCCCATCACCTCCCCTTCCCTCCCCCATCCACTCCTCCCCACATCCCTTCACCTCTCCGTCCCTCCTGGTGCCCCAATCCCCGCAAACCTGGGCTGATCCTGCGCCTTCCACGCTTCCCTGCTCCCTCCCTCCCTGTCCCCTTCCCCTCCTCCCCCCCCCCCCCCCCCCTCCTTCCTCCCCTTCCCCACAGGCCACCTCTCCTTTACCCCTCCTCGTGGCCCCCGTCTCCTCCTCCCATCCCCCACCCCAGCTTTAGTCTCCCATCTCCCCAACACCCTCTTGCCCCTGCCTCCTCACAGCCCCCTACTTACCCTACTGGTCCCTCCTGGGGCTCCTTCGATCCCTAGGGCCTCTCTGTCTGTCTCTGTTTTCTCCCATTCCAGCCCCTGATGACCAGGCCCCGCGCCTCTGCTGGGGTCGGCCCTACACAGTAAGCTGCCTGGGAGCCCTCATTGCCTTCCTGGGCAACCCAGCTATAGGCCCCCCAGCAGCTGCAGTCCGGGAGGTCAGCGTTGCCCTGGCTGACGTCAGGGGCCCCTCCTCACCGCCCACCTCTGCACCTTCCCCATCCGTTTGCCTGGTGTCCGGGGAAGGCCCCGCAGGATGGCATTCCTTTCCCAGGGTCTCCCTCAGGAAAGATGAGAGGAAGCAAAAGCTCGGTCTGCAAACAGGGCTGGTCCTGCCGACGGCCACATCCGCAGGGATGACCCTCAGAGGTGCTCCCCAACTGGCTGGGAGGTTCCTCCAGCTGGGCGCTCTGCTACACAGCTGGGTCAAGGGCAAACAGCCATGTACAAAATGGCAAGAGGCGGCCCTTCCAGAGCATGTGTATGTGCATATTCACTCCTTCAAACCTCACAACTCCATCAGCGAGGCACTTTTATTATCCCCATGTTACAGATGACAAAACTGAGACAAAAGATGAATCAGCTTGGCAGTGTTCACAGAGCCAGCCTGTGGAAAAGCCAGAATCCAGAGTCCAGACCCAGGCCCTGTCTGCGGCGTCCCGGCTCTTACTGACACCTAAACAGCCATGGCCTCTTATTAGCTTAGGGCTCTTCCTTCTAAAAAGTGAGTTTTGCCTTTGTTTTTGTTTTTGTTTTTTTTTTTCCTGAAAATAAGCATGAACATTACAGGTGCTTCAAGATTTTCAGTTTTTAAAAGATCTGATATTCTTATTTTTACTTCTCTGGGTGTTTTCCCCACCAGCTGTTGCTCTCCTGAAAACAGTCTCGCTCATTTTTCCAGTTCCCAGTGCGGTGCATCCTCACTGCTGTCTGGAAGGGAACGAGCATTCGTGCGTGCTCCTGGGCCTTGCCCACACACATATGTGCTGCGCTCCTTCCCTCCTGCCTCCTGCCTCCTGCCTCTGTGTTGCCCTGGGGCTGACAGCTTCTGGTTTGCCAAACAGAATCGTAAGGAGAGGTGTGTGGCTGATGTGGCATCCGGCAGGCTTGGTTCCCTGGAGACTACTTGTTACTGGGATAAGCAGTAAGAAGCAGTGGCTGAGATTGTGAGTAGGGGAGTAGAGGCCTCCACAGACTAGAAGAAATGTCAGAATAAAATAATAGTGTAGCTAGTGTTCATGAATACTTACTAAATGCAAGGCTTTGTGCTAAGTATTTTCCAGGAATTATTTCATTTAAGTGACATAATAACCCTATGACACTGATATCATCAGCATTTGAAAACTCAAGGTCATGTAAGATTTAGAGTGGAGATTCTGATGCACTTAACCAGCATGCTCACTGCACATGAAAACAGAAATGGTTTCCGTGTTTGTCTCCAAAATGGAAATACCTTTGTCATTTGGCAAACTGTAAAAATAATATGTGTTCATTGTGAAAGATGAAAACAACACAGAAGTGTATGCAGTAAAATATAGACATTTTTCTCCCGTAAGCCCCCTCATAGACTTTAATACATGTATACTTTTTTTTTTTTTTTGAGACAGAGTCTAGCTCTTGTTGCCCAGGCTGGAGTGCAGTGTTGCGATCTCGGCTCACCACAAACGCCACGTCCCGGGTTAAAGTGATTCTCCTGCCTCAGCCTCCTGAGTAGTTGAGATTACAGGCGCCAACCAACACATCCAGCTAATTTTTTGTATTTTTAGTAGAGACGGGGTTTCACTGTGTTGGTCAGGCTAGTTATGAACTCCTGACCTCAGTTGATCCACTCACCTCAGCCTCTCAAAGTGCTGAGATTACAGGTGTGAGCCACCGCGCCTGGCCACATATACATTTTAAGATACCTAATATTATACCATCATATTCTTCAGTGGTATCCTGACATAAGTGCCCTGACATCAGGGCACACCTGATGGTTATTTCCAGAATTCTTATGGAATTGGTGAGTCAGAAGGTATAAACATTTTGGTCACATGTTGAAATGGAGAAATTATTGTTTTATTTAAAGCCATAAACTGTTTCCCAGGCTGGAGTGCAGAGGCGCGATCTTGGCGCGCTGCAACCTCAGCCTCCCAGTTCAAGCAATTCTCTTGCCTGAGCCCCCTAAGTAGCTGGAATTACAGGCGCATGCCACCTCATTTTTGTATTTTTAGTAGAGACGGGTTTTCACCATGTTGGCTAGGCTGGTCTTGAACTCCTGATGTCAAGTGATCTGCCCCCTTTGGCCTCCCAGCTGGGATTACAGGTGTGAGCCACCATGCTCAGCCTAATTAGTACAGTCTTAAAGCAATTTTTTAACATGTACCAAAAGACTTTAAAATGTTCACACCTTTTACCTCATAGCAATTCCATTTATGGAAATCTCTGTATCCCAGAGAAACAAATAAATGAAAACAGCAATATCTAGCATTATGTTAGTCATATTTAGGGCATAACTTAAATGTCCTCCAATAAGGAAATGATAAGTAAGTCATGAAAAAATTAAGAACATCTCCTTGCTGAAATATTACATAGTCATTAAAATGATGGTTATGAAGAGTAAAAATGTGGTGGAAGTTCTTAGAACATAAAGTCAAATTTACTTATTTATTTATTTATTTATTTATTTATTTTGAAATGCAATTCTTTATTAGAACTCAAGTTTGTGTTTGCAACCATTCAACAGAAGGGGTAAAACAAAAACAATTCACATCATCATTCCCCCACCCCCAACCCCACATTCTGGGGCTTAAGTGTATTGGGCTTCCACTTAACCCCTGACTGGCTCTGGTTCCAGGGCCCGAAATGCCTTCATAACCTAGTAACTGGGTCCTGGGCATCCTCCTAAAACCACTGGGTCCATGCCTTGCTGGCAGCTTCGGGAGATCGCTGGGTCCCCAACTCACTGGCAGCCTTGAGGGACTGCTGGGTCCCGGCCTCCCACACCTCCACCAGAGAACCCTGTGTCCCGACCTCCAGGACCTCCACCGAACGCTGGGTCCCGGCCTCCCGAACCTCTACCGAACGCTGGGTCCTGGCTTCCCGGACTTCTATTGAAGACCGCTGGGTTTCGGCCTTCTGAGTGGCTACATCCTGGGCAAGGGTCTTTTCTGAGCCTTTCGCCTGGAGCTGGTGGTGATAGCCAGCCAAGTTCACGATCATCTTGATGGTGTCCTCCTGGTAAGAAGGCCTCCCAAATATCAAGATCTCAGCCTCGCCGCTGGGGTCCAAGTGATTCACATGAATCAGGATTTGGGACAGACCCTGGACTTGCAGGATGCACTCTCCGCCCCTGCCGAAGATCTTTTCCACCAGCCAAACCTCCAGGTGAACTACCTTCGGATTCTTCAGAAACTCAGAGTGGAACCAGCAGAACTGCTTGGGGAGCTGACCGAGCACCTGGAGTGACATTGCTTTTGGCAAATTTAAAAAGTAACATACAAATGGCATATATTGTATGATTACAACTGTGTGAACAGAAATTGTAAAGAAATAGTAGCAAAATGATATCAATAGTTATGTTAGTGTATTGAGATTAATGTGGTTTTTCTTTTCTTTCTTTCTTTTTTTTTTTTCTGAGGCAGAGTCTTGCACTGTCCCTCAGGCTGGAGTGCATTGGTGCAATATCGGCTGACTGCAGCCTCTGCCTCGGGGCTCAGGAGATTCAACTGCCTCAGTCTCCTAAGTAGCTGGGATTACAGGTGTGTGCCACCATGCCCAGCTAATTTTTGTATTTTTAGTAGAAACGGTGTTTCACCATGTTGGCCAGTCTGGCCTCGAACTCCTGACCTCAGGTGATCCGTCTGCCTTAGCCTCCCAAAGTGCTGGAATTACAGGCGTGAGCCACGGCGCCCAGCTGGTTTTTCTTTTTTGTTTTCTAATGTGGTTTATTTTTGTAGTAAAAATTATATTTACTTAAGGACTGGAAAATAGATGGAAATTATCAGAAGACTTCCTTTTTCCTCTCTGGATTTGAGTTTCTACTCCTACGAAATGAAGCAAGCAGTGAGCCTGGAATTAGATGACTTCTAAGTTATCCCAGTTTTAGTATTGCATATTTTCTTATATAATCAGGTGGCTCTGCTGCTGATTCAAAGCCAAAATTCAGTCTTCATATTGAAAATAGTTCAGACCAGAACATGTTCTGTGACCATTAGCCTAGGCTATTCCTGCATATGTCAAAATATCCACATTAATTGGAAGAGAAAGGAAACGATGCTGTTTGGGTCTGTGTAGACGCACCTTTAGGCTTGGTGTTCCCACTGGAAAGTAGAGGGGACCAGGCTTGGGAGTCCTGGGACCAGATGTTTAGAGCAGTGGCTTCTTGACTCATCCGTCTTTGAGGGTCTATGTTCCTCATTCCCCCGTCTATCAGTCCAGATACTGATGCTGTGTGAGGTGTTCCCACGGCCATGCCTTGCTCCCTGTGCAGTGACAAGGCATGGTTGGAGACTGTGTTTCCTCTGCTGGGTGGAGAGCTCTTTGAAGGCAAGGACTGGGTTTTTATCCAGTACCTGAACAGTGAATGAATAAATGTGGGCGTGAAGAAAGCCTATTACATGGGAGCCTCAGTGGGATTTCACTGAACCTGTGAAGTAAGTGAGGCTAGCAGTCAGAAGCATATTGTGAGGTCATAGGTTTGTAGGGGTGTTTGTGTATGTGCGCGTGTGTGCACGTGCATGTTGTGTGCATGTGTGTGTAGGGAAGGGGCAAGACTGGAAGAATGCCGCTGTGCTGGCACAGCCTTCGTCAGAGCTCTGAAAGGGGCTGAGTGGGCTCTGACTCAGCTCCATGACTCATTCACTGTATTGCTGTCTCCATCCTCTGGGCACATCCTCTGGACCATTTCAGCTCAGTCTCAAGTGGAGGAGTTGAGATTTGGGCCAGCACCTCCGGATGACTCACCTGGCTGAGCTGGAAGGAAGGGGCCTAAGCCCCACCATCCTGCACCGCCTTGTCACCACCCCTGTCTCTCTAGGGGTTTTCATGCAGACACAGACCTCACAAATAGGTTATGGCTGCTCCAGTAATTATGCCCCCTCCCCACCCAAAGCATTACCCACCCATCACACTTCCCAGCTCAAATGCCACAGCTTCCCCAGGCCCCTCACATGCTTGTTCCCCTGTGCTTCTTGTGGGCCTCTGAGGTCAGCTGATAAGGAAGCTTATAAGGCTCTCCCAGACCATTGGTCACTTTATTCTTCTTCACCTCTTACAAACTTTTTTCAGTTTACGAAATAGTTTTACATCCCCTTTCTCATTTGATTCTCTCTCAGACCCTAAGAAGCCTTGTAGGAAGGCAAAGATCCCCACTCTTCAGGGATGGATGTGGGAGCTCTGCTAATCCTTTCACTAGTAAAGGGATCAGTGAAGGGCATTGAGAGACCAAGGAATGCCGGGCAGGGCGGGCTGGGCAGGAGACCGTGGGACAGTGGGCTGGAGGCATTTGGTGGGACAGTGGGCTGGAGGCATTTGGTGGGACAGTGGGCTGGAGGCATTTGGTGGGACGGTGGGCTGGAGAAGAGGCACAGTGTTGGCAGTTGGTGACATGACAAGAAATATGGCTGTATGAGAGCAGAAGACACGCAAGATGTTTTGACTTTATCACAAGACCAAGCGGAAGCCATGGAAGGGTCTCATGCAGAGGAGGGCCATGGTCAGACTTAGAAACTCACCCCTGGGTGTGATGTGGGCAGGGAATTTGGGCAGGGCAAGCTGGGGGCCGTCTCCATTATTCAGATAAGAGCTGGCAGAGTCTGCCTGTGGGCAGTGGTAGGGGGGCGGGACAGGGACAGAAAGGCTCCTGGGATGGTGTCTAGTAGGCACATGAAAATAGGGGTCCAAGTCTGTTTCCCCTGAAGAAGTGGTGTATATTTATTCTACTGTAAAGGGGGCCGGAGTGCTAAGTGGGTTGCCATCCACTTATAGATGTGACTGGAGCCAGGCAGTGGGTGAGATGACTCAGGGAAATGGGAGGGTCAGTAGGGATGCCAACCCTTAAGAGCTGAGGAAAGGCAAGTGCAGGCCCTACCACGATGCCCCTGGCAGGGGAAGGGCACTTGTAATGTGAAAGTGCTTGGCAGCCATGACCTCCTTTGATGTGGACAAGGCCCTGTGAAGGTGACAGGTGGCTCTTACCTCAAAGAGACTCAAGGGTGAAATCTAAGGGGACCGCTAGTTCTTCCCTCTGCTGCGTTACCTTTCCTCATTCCATTGGTGCTGGGCTGCTGGGGTCA